GCGCTCGACTGCCGGCGGCTGGTCGCGGGGGGGCTGGGAGGGCGGTTGGTGTTACCTGGTTAAAGCCGGGGTCTCCCCTGAGTGGGGGCGGAGAGGGCTTCTGGAGCTGTGACCAGAAGGTGGCTTAAACAAGGGAAGTGCTGAGATCTGTGGCTCTAAGTCTCTCGCTTTGACTCTGCTTAAGCTTTTGACTTCAAGTTGTGCCAATCAAAAGCAGCTTTTTCTGCAGACTCCTCTTGAGTGGGGAGTCGCTTGCCCACCCGTGTAATGGTAGCGATAAGCTCCAGGTGGGAGCTGCCTGGCTGTTCGACAGTGCAAGGGAGGGCTCTTGCCTGTTGTCTCAGATAAGGCTGAAACAGTAGTGAAGTAATCTATTTGTATGGGGTGTCCTCTAATGGCTTCTTTTTCTGGTGAAAAGATGTCTCTGCTAGTAAAATAACTGGCATTACTCTTGGCTGTTCAAGTGCTACAAGCTGAGCTAAGGACTGGATTGCTAAGCTAGGAGATGTACTCTTTTCTTGTGCTGAGGAAACAGTTAAACACTACAAAGAAGTGACAAAGCAAACTAAAGGTATTAGATCTTTCTGTGTAGGATTGCTAGTGAGACCTTGCTACTTTCCCAAACTCATACAAGCTCCTTTAGGACTATGAACCTACTGCATGGACTAATAATGCCTTCAAACATAAGGGTCTGTAGCTAAACTACTATGAAATAGCGTGAAGTATGGGTTTGTTCCCCCTCCTCTAGGGACCAGCACATGGCAGCTATGTTGTCTTTAATGTGGTTTGTTTAAAAAGTGTGCTCTGGTGGAAGAAATGACAAGAATTATTTTCTCTTTTTTCTGTATGGACTTTCCAGAGTGGTCTCATCAACCTGAAGATGGCAACACTAATCTTTATTGATAAGGAGAATGGTGATGTTGGTGCTACTAGGAATCAGCTAAGACTCCCTTCAGGATCTTGTGCGTATATGCTGCCCTAAGCCAGTAGGGGATCAAGTGAAGTGCATAAACCATGTTTTGTTATTCACTGTTTTGAACAGTAATAGTTTTCTATTCTTATCTACTTATCTAACCAATTCTGCTAAGCTCATCAATTACTATAAAAAAATGTGCTTTTGTCATAGATGGGGCTTATGCTCCTGAGTTATAAATGGTGAACAATGTTTTTTGACAACTAGTTTTCCAGGACATGCGCTTACCAAAGCAAGCTTTAGGGTTGATATGGTGCTGAAGTTAAAGCTTTTTTTTCTTCCCCCCACTCTCCAGCAAAAGTCTTATCTGAAAGAACACAAGTTAACACTCCACTTCCTAAAAAAGCCATCAGTACATCTCCAGCCACATCTCACTCTGTCAGAAAGGCTCTTGGAAATGTGAATAGAACTGAAGAAGTCACGAGCAAGATGGAAAAGATAAGACAGAAAAATCAGCCTTGCAATGCAAACAAAGTGAGTACAACACACTTCTGTGGGGTGGGAATGCATAGTTGTGGCTTAATCCTGTCAGGCAGCTAAGCACCACACAGCTGCTTGCTCACTCCCCCCTCAGTGGGATGGGGGAGAGAATTGCGAGGGTAAAAGTGAGAAACTCATGGGTTGAGGTTAAGACAATTTAATTATTAAAAATCTCAAAGAAAAACAAACCCAATTTCTCACCATGAGCTGGCTGACTGCCTTGCCAGTCCCTGAGCAATGACAGCCCTGGCAAACTTCCCCACCAGTTTTCATTCCTTAGCATGACGTCATATGGTGTGGGATATCCCTTTGGTCAGTCAGGGTCAGCTGTCCTGGCTGTGTCCCCTCCCAGCTTCTTGTTGCCTCCCCAGCCTACTCACTGGGGGGGTGGGGTGAGAAGCAGAAAAGGCCTTGACTCTGTGTAAGCACTGCTCAGCAGTAATGAAAACATACCTGTACTATCAACACTGTTTCCAGCACAAATCCAAAACATGGCATCATATGAGCTACTAGGAAGAAAAAGAACCCTATCCTAGCCAAAACCAGTACACCTACATAGGCGCAAGGAGTACAACAGCATAGTGGGTACCTAATGGCAAAGAAGTGGCTCTAGAGAAAATAGTCTGAGCTAATGTCTTGTTCACATGTTAAGTATCAGGAATTTAATATTATGAGCGTAAATGTTCTAGTGCAGTGATTTGTTGCCACCATATATGGTACTGCACTACATAAACTCAACTGAAGCATTTGTCCATCTCCAGCTTATTTGTGTTGAAGGTATTGAATTTAGGCATAACTGAGCACTGTATGGCAGGTGTTCTTGTCTGTAGACCTGTATAGCACAGGAAAGCCACTACAAAGGTACTATAATGGGAAACTACAGTAGCTCAAATAATGTGACTTTCTCCTTTTAAGATTACTGAAAGGACTGCTGGATTAGAAAGCTGTGATGCAGTGGCTGAAGAAGACTGGCCAGAAATAGAAAATTTGTTTCCTTTTGATCCTCAAGGTGAGAACTATTGGTGTAATTATTAAAATGAACAATTAGGCTTTCACGAGTGTTGATATTGCTGTAAGACTTTGGCCAAGTTATTGTGGCAAACAAGCTAGCATTGCATTTCTCCGGAGTCCTTTCATAAACGTAAGGGTGCTTGCTACTTCTGAAATACTATCTCAGTCTTGTTTAAATATTTCTAACTGCAATAGCTATGCTCCAGATATGTAGTAGTCTGAGTCCATTATTATGGTGGCAGGAAACTAGTTCCAAATAACCATGCTATAGCCTCTTAATTCATTAAATGGCAACTAGTAGACAAGTATTCAAAAGAATGCTTAAGCAGTACTGAAGAGTAGACTTCTTTTAAGAGTGTATGCCAAGATGGTAATTTCTAACTGAAGAGATTCCTGCTACTGTAGGATATAATAGTCGAAGATGAAACTTCTAAAGTTGTTCTTAGAATATCTGCAATGGGCTGTGCTATCTCAGTCCTTCAAAGTGTGTCCTTAAACCATCCAGTTTGTGTGGAAGTGAGTGTGCAAAAACTACTGTACCAAAGACGACTACAGTGTTGGTGAAACATATATGCTGTGCTTGATGAAGTTGACTTAGTATAGTGATTGGGAAGAAATTACTAAAAGTTCCTGCTCTACATTAGCAGTTATGTTATGCAGTCTAGTCTTTTGATAAGTGTGAGTGTATGGGATTTTATGGACAACTAAGGTGTAACTGCAAATAAATACCCCATAAGAGGGGACTGTTGGCTTGTGTTGTTTTGGACCTGCTCCCACTTCATTTAATCTAGGAGAATTTGCAGCTTCCTACTGCTACTGTACACTGTTACTAAACTACAGTGTGTCTCTCAAACAGACTTTGAGAGTTTTGATCTTCCTGAAGAGCACAAAGTAAGCAATATCAACCTGTGTGGTGTTCCCCTCATGATATTTGAAAGGACATATGACAGATGTGTGAACATGGTTCCTTCACCTGTGAAGATCGAAGAGATTTCATGGGAGTCTAGTAAGTGGAAACTTAGCATGAGTTTCAGTACATACAGTGCTCATTAGTGGTTTGGGAGGGAAGCTAGTTGGCTGCAGTAGTGAACTGGCACTGCTGTCTAATTACCAGAATAGCACACTAGTATCAAACAGCTTTTGGTGTGTGATCAAGCTGAATTTAACTGGTCAACCCTACTAGTACAGTAGTGGTCTCAAAGTGATATTGCTGAGCCATCTCCTGCAGTGCATTGCTAACTGATTGGTTAGGTGGAATTGGCTTATGCAGTCAAACAGTATTTCCCTTAGTCATTCAAAAGGCTTATGCTAATCCACTGGGAGCTAGCTTATGTTAGAGTATAAATTCTGGGTTTCATAAGAAACTGATTTGCTCTATTTCTAACTTTCAGACTTGATACAATCAACTGCTGACTTCCTTGCTACCCTGGATGAGATCATTGACATGCCACCTCCAAATTATGACCTTTAATGCATATTCTGCAGCTTCTATTGAGTTCAAATTTCATGTAGTTCTGTATTTTAATAAAGGCTAATCTAACCTTTGTAATGCTGGACTTGTCTATTTTTAGTAGGCCCAAGATGTAGGTTGTAAAATAGTGCTTTGAAAAGGCGGCTATCTGACAAGCAATTAAAGCAGAGCCTGGATAAGCTTCTAAGCATGACTATAATTCACTGTTGTGAACCATGTCCAGGAGTTAGCACCTGCTGACTAGACTGTGTGGTCATGATAGGCTGAGAGGCCCTTGTGACCTCACTGTTTACATAACTTTATCCATTGAACATGAAAGGGTTAAAACTAATCTGTATATCTAGTGTAAATTAAGTACTAGAGCTAGTACTCACCTGGCAGTTTTCCTTTCCTGAACTTGTTAGCTCTTCAGTGCTTGTCTAAGATGGTATCTGTTGGATTTTTATGCAGCTGTAGACTACTACTTTTAATTGTCACAGCATTATGTGGTGCTCACTGCTGTGTACTGTCTCTGCTCTGAGGAAAGGCTGGTGGAACCCCATCCTTGAAATGATAAGCACATAGGTTCAATAATCTTTTCTCTTGCACTGTAATGGCCTCAACTCCAGTTCTTCATAGCATAAGACAAGTCAGTTGTGGAAGTGGTCAGCCTTCACTTAAGTTAAACTGCTTTATAGTTCCTGGGCAGGACTCTGACCTTGTCAGATTACAGCAGCCTGAGCTGCCTTCAGCTTTTAGCTCATCCTTAACATGAATAGCAATGCTGTGCCTGTGTTCTGGGTCATCTGCTAAGGTAGAAGGCCTTTCTGTTCTTCCATGATGCACCTGAGCTCTGAACAGGAGGAATTGCCATGTCAGATTTATCATTAAGTACACTGTGGCACTACATAACTGCAAGCAGTGGCAAGACCAGCTTTTCAGTGCACGCTTACAGTAGTGTCTGAAGTAACAAGAAATATGCTTTAATGATTGCAAGTTGACTAAAAGATGAAAATGCTCTAGCTAAGGACTGCGGTTAATCTGGTGTGGGTCAGTGCTGCATCCCACAGTTCTGCTTCTTGGAGGCATACTGTGGCTGCAACCTGACTGCATGTGAAGATGAGATGTGAATGTGTAACCATACGCCTTTCATGCCATCGTTTCTGGGAAACCTAAAAATGCAGGCAGCAAAGGAGCCCTTGTGTTTTCCTATAGGTTGTCTGGTTTGCAGGTGCTGCAGGGAATGCATTTGCCCTGCTGTGATGACATAAGTAATGAAGGCTCCCTTTAGCCTTGAAAAGGGTACCAGGCAGAGCAGAGAATACTTATTTTCACTGTTTCCTGGTTTTGGATGTTTTCCTCAAGACATGTTTCACTTCCTTAATGCTTTTTACTCATCAGAAGGTAGCTGGACGTTTTGGGAATTGTCCTATTGCAAATTCTGACCTTCAATCCGTTAGGACTAGAAACTTGCTGTTGCTGCTTCTGAATTATCAGTCATCTGATGAAGTGAAAACAGACATTCTGTTTCTTCCTCAAACTTGTCAAGGTATCAGCCAAAGCGTTAAATTGTCATGAATTATACAATAGCTGGTCTTTATCTTCAGTTTCTTGTCTTTGGCTTGAAACTTCAAAGAATTCAGAGGAATATCAAACTAAACAGGAAAAAAAAGATACAATTAAGGAGATTCTGTATAGAGATTTCAAGTTTTGGCTGATCCTTAATTGCATTTTAATAGTTTTTGATTCTGAAATAATTTGGCCATCTCAGCTGAGATTGAAGTTTGGGTATAGTCTACCAGCCACAGGAGTTAAGCTGTAGTAACTAGAAAAGGAAATGACAACAAAGACCTTTTGTCTTTACCAGCTCAAATGAGCTGGGAGAAAACAGTCTAAGCCCAATTTTACAGGAAAAATGCCTGTAACTAAGGTGCTGAAACAGGTTACACAGTGCCATCATGTGGCTGCTTGTTATGCAGCCACGTAAGTAAAAACAGTCATTGGTATGCAAAACACCAGATAACGTGGTATGAAATACCATAAGGATGTGACACTGAATCAACATAAATGTAGGTTGTTACTTTTTGTATGTACAAACACATCTCATCTGGAGAGAGACACTAGTGCTTTGTACGTGTTATGGAAGTTAATAATGGTAAAAATAATTCTTTTTTGTTGATTTAAAATATTCACTGTGATCAAGCACCTAGATCTATTATTTGAACCTCCAGAAATGAGCTTTTTGTGACATGCCCACATGTGTGTATACATGCACACACGTCAAAACATTTAAAACATGCTTGCTAGTTGTAGGATTTCATACCAAAATGGATGAGCATTGGTATAATGTTTGTAAAGGTGATAATTAAATGATTCAGATAGGTCTCTTGGTACTGATAGACTTTGATCTTGAAGCCCAAAATCTTGTTACTTGTGGGGACAGTGGAATGGGTGTGCACAGCGTGAGTCAGAGATTTGGGAATATTGCTGGGCTGTCTGCATGAGAATGAATGCTGCTGCAGTGTAGAACATAAGGTAATAATGCTAGAATAAACTAAATGAGTTCACACTTGTGTTATCTTATTTGACTTAAATTATTAAATCCTTTCAAAGTCTAAGGAAAAAGAAACAGTCATAGGTTTTGTCCTTTTCTTCGCGTACCCCCAATTTTCTTTTTTTCTGTAAAATTATGAAAGGGTGTTTTGGCTGCAGAGGAACATCTTATGTAGGATCCTTTTTTGGGTGTTTCATCCAATTTTCTACAAATACTGTCTCTTATAGCTGCTGGCAAGCAACACAAGCCAGTCAAAATAAGAAGCAAGCAAGGTTTTCAAGATTTTTGTCTGTAAATAGTTGAGATCAAAAAGGTATGTTTCATCATGTAGTCTGTCTCTGAGCCAAAACAGGAGTGTTGCTAGGAATCTTGTGTATGGGATATAAATCTGTATTCAGCAACACAATGCAAAAATCAGTTTTCTTTATACTACCACTATAGCTAATTAATATTTAGTGTTTAAAGATTGATTTGCTTTTTAAAATGTTGGCCATGATCCTTTTGGTTTAAAAAATTAAATAAATGCTCATGTCCGATTTCAAACACATCCATGACAAAACCCAGAGGTAAGAAGTCTCTATAGCAGAAGAATAATGAAGTTAACTTCAATTTTGGTTAGATGTTAATTCTCAGCACCAAATTTTAGGTGACTGGGAATATTTTTCTTTCCTGCAGTAGCGTACCTCATCTGGGGCTTTCTGTTCTCGTTGGGATTTCTGGTTAATGCAGGTCCAAGTTTTTGCTTTTACAAAGCTTTACTTTGTAAACATTCATCAGAAAGATCCATTTGTTTCAGCTGGCTTTTATTTTTCCTATTTCATGTACTTTTCAACTCAGCTGGCCGGGGTTGTGTGTTCCTGTGACTTGCACGAGAACAAAGCTGTGACGAGACTCAATCTGTGGATTGAGCTTCCTGTTTGCCCCGACTGGAGGAGATCACAGTCACAAAAGTGCAGTCTGCTATTTAGAAAATGTCAGCTGTCTTAGCCTCAGAGCTGCAAAACTAGCCGGTGTCAGCCCATGAAGTGCTGGCTTCCTGAGACGCAGGGAGCCTGGTCGCTGGGAATTTTGCACTGCTTCATGCCATTTCAGTTAGGCCTTAACATTGACTTCTGGTGACTGAAAAACCAACTTCCTTAACTGTTTTAATGTTGATATAACATACGCAGCTTTTTATACTTATAAAGTTTTATTTTCTGTTGGGGTGTTGTCAGGAATAGATGCAACTTGAGTTCAAAATGGTGTCTGAGCACTACCCTGCACAACGAAAGTCCTATTTAAAACTGCTTGTGATGTTTTGGTTTACTTGCTTGATCAGTTTACGCTTCCTGCAAAGATCTGAGATATTTGGGATTTTAAATGTATGGCTGTGATGAAAACGAATTCTTGCTTGGTGGCTTGTTCTCAGTTTGAATGAGCCTTCATAGGCCAGTGTAACTGTGTACCGTGATTGGGAAACCTGGATTGTAACCAAGTACGCAGAGCAGGTACCTTTTTAGTTGGTTATCACTCTGTAAAGCATCTTCTTTGACGGCGTTCTGGCTGTGAGAATCACTTTAAATCCTTACCTGAATTTCTGTAAGGAGAACTTGGAGATTCATATAAAAATAATCTCTTAGCAGGCTGAGTAAAATTACTTCAGTGCACACCAGATAATTCATCCTATTTGTAATGTTCTGGCAGCGGGTGGCACCATGGTAACAGCATGTATTACGGCTTCTCACTCCCGCAACCTGACAGCTGTGGTGTGATGATGTTTGCCTTTGGTACATCATGCACAGTACAGGCATCTGTAATGGGTTTCATTGCTTCATTAATGTGAAATGGAGGATAAGAGTCAGCACTAAGGAATTCAGTGTGCCTTTACCCTGTGACTACAGGGAATAGTATATCAGCCAAGGGCATTTTTATCTTTCGTTGTTTAAAAAGAACAGAAGTTAGAAGCCTGGAGGCAATTGGTCTCTCTAGGGTTAGCAAAGCCATTAATCTTGTAACTTTTAGTTTCACTGTAGTTTTATTAGTGTTAGCGAAGTACTGTATAGAAATGCAATAACGTCCCTCTAACTAGCCCCCAAGTGGTACTCAGTGTGCTCCAAGAGACACAGGCACTGATCAGATCAACATGTCTATAATGAGGTTTATATACAGTTTCTATACACAATATATATTTAGTAACTCGTTGTTTGGGATCTGACTCTGCAAGCATGTGTTTTTGCATATAACTTTGCAAAGCATGTAAGAAAAGCATAATTGATAAATTTACCTCTAACTGCAGTTTGGGAGAAGTTAAAAGCATGGTGGGCCCGTTGTGCTTGAATGATCTACAAAATTAGAGGGAAAAGTTGAAAAAATGGCCCTAATGTGCATTTTCTTGCAGTCAGATTATGAATAATGCCAGGATGAAAAAGGAGTATGCAAACAACTTACTGGTGTGGGTGTTTTGTGCTTTTCTAACAGGTGAGGTAATCTCTCCCAGTTAATGAAGTTGGAGTGAGGTTCATGGAGCTGAAGGCATACTTCTAGCTCTAGATACCGTGTTT